GGGGGGGGGGCTTGCTGAACAAATGTGCTGAGAGAAACAAACATTATGTGTTGCCAATGTAGCTGAGCGAGCCAGAGCACTCATCACATAAAACTGTTATGACTGTGACCATCTGGGGCTGCATGCGCTGTTTTGGCTGTGGCGCTACAGTGTTTTTCAGTGTGCTCATACCAGCCCTGAAAAAAATCAACACAGAGAGACAAAGAGAAGAGGAAACTCCCACTTTGCCTTAAAGCAAGGAGAATGTCACTTTGTAGCCGGAAGAATAATAATTACGTGCATTCGCACTGCAGCCTCTCATCTACCCCAGCAGATCAGCACACACGCAGCGGTCCATTAGTGAAGTAAAAAAACAAAACAAGGGGACAGGTTGAAACGCGAAGGAAAAGAACAGGGATGAGAAACAGGACCATTTGCCTGATAACAGGCTTGATGGTGTTGCTATGGTGTGTGACACACATACGAGGGGCTGTGTGCATGTGCGTGCAAGTCTGTAAGTGCGTTGTACTGTGCAAGAATAAAAAAGTCATCGGAAAATTAGTAGGCAAAGCACAGAAACACACACATGCTATATGTCCTCAGTTTTCCTAGCCAACGCTGGAACAGTCCAACAGGATGAAACTGTGTTAATCCTGTGTTTAAATATCCTAACCCATTCCAGAGGGTGTGTTTGATGTGTGTCAGAGCGTGACAGTTTTTGTCCACTTGGTTTCATCCCTCAGTGTTAAAGTTGTGTATCTTGATCATGAGTATATCATAGCATAGCCTAAGTTTAGCATATCCTAAGGAAGCTAAACATGGTGTTGTCTTTGGATAATTAAGGGGAACATCCATCCATCCATCGCTTATTCAATTCCACTCTGGCCAGGTTGCCAGGGAAAAACCACATTAAATTAATTTACAGTGAAAAATCCAATCAAGAGATCTACAGACTATGAAAAACAACAACGCATATTTGCAGTAAAAGAGCTGAACAAAGTCAATAGCTATTAATTGCATTCTGGCCCCTCTGAGGTCCATTACAGCGTTATTGAACATGCGGTGCTCTTCAGTTAAGAAGGCACATTAAGCTACTAATTAGTCAATTGCATTTCTTCATCCTCAGGGATCCAGCGTGTACAGAAGTGAACAGTCAGCAATACTGTGAACACCAAGCCAGAACAAAGCTGCAACTCTTTATATGCACAAGATCTTAGTGTTTAATAGATCCGCTTTAATGAGTGCCGGTCTATGAAAAGCTCTGTGGGATCACCACTGACTGACCACACGCTGAGGCTGGTGAACACTTCTTGCAAACTTCAAATTAAGAGTCATTTTAGGATGCTTATGAGACATCAAAGCGCCAATGACGAAAGTTAAATATGGTTTAGTTTAGGCTCACACATGCCAACACACATGTGTTGGCATGTGTGAGCCTAGCACAAAAAGTAAGGAAAGTTGTATTTGGGTGATTATTTCTTTGTTGTAGCAATGCTTCTTTGCAATAAATCATATTCTGTTCCAAAGCCTGTTTATTTCACTTAAATGGTCCCACATTTGTTGAGCAGCAGAGTTGAGTATGCAGGTTGCATCCATGAAAAACTTGCCAAATCTTCTCTGCCAAACAGCCTGTTCTGCTGCTGAATCTTGTTTTGAGCTTCTGGTACCCACTATCAGGCATCTGATTAGCACCTTTTAGTCAGCATCTGTGAGCATGGACCCTGCTACAGCAGTCAGTTGTTGTTTCCTCTAAACATGCCACGTTTGACTGATCTGGATAGAGCCTGCAAAATAGGCCAACTTCGAGCAGTGTTATTTGGAGTGAGCCCAAGTACCATCTCCAGATTGAAGAATGAGTTCCATATAATGGGCGATGTCAGAGACGGGCTGCAGAGTGGGCGTCCTAAGAAGACCGAATGGGCAGTCTGCCACTGATTTGCAGTCAAGGTTTGTGGGACAATATGACCGACGGCTCTCTACGAAGAAGCTCTGGAACAAACTTCACACAGCCAATTCTACCTACAATAGTTGGATGATAAGGTTAAAAGGTGAAGAAGACGCAGAGAATAGGTTAACACCTTAGGTGGAGGAAGTGTGACGGTGTGGGGCAGCATCTCCCTCGCTGAAAAAAAAGGCTTTTAATCATGGGAGGTAATCTCAATGCAGAGAGATGTCTGCAACCAGAGGCAATCCCATATCTCGTCGCCATGGACGCCCAAACTTTGACCTCCATGTTTATCACAGACTACCTCCAGAATTTGACTGCCTGCAGTCCTGACCTCAACCCTGTTGAAAACTTGTGTGATCAGTCTGGGCGTGCTGTTTGTGCCAAACTCTTGAAGAATGGGATGTCATCCCACAGCAGTGTGTGACCAAGTTGGTCACCAGCATGAGTAGACTGTGGCAGGCTGCTGTGGTGGTGTATGTTTGTCCATATACAACTCAGGCCCCTTTTTGCTAAATGAATCAATTTTTAAAATTGCTAATATGTTTCTTGTTTCTTCAGACTTCAATCATCCAATCCAATAAATGACACCAAAGATGGGTCAGTAGCAGAATAAGCTGTTTGGCATTGGCAGAGAAGATTTGGCAAGTTTTTCATGGACACAGCCCACACACTCAACTCGACTCAAATATAAGATTTACTGCCAAGAAACATCGTTACAGCTAAAACCAAGTGTGAAGTTTAGTTACATGTACAGTTTGGCTTTCTGCAGGAAAGCTGACAAGTGGCTGTTTGTTTCATTTTAAAATATTGCAAGATAAGATTAAACTTACAACCCGCGTATGTGTTCCTCTTTATCAGCCAACAACCATGCATGTAACAGTTTTCTGTTATTTGTGGAGTTTTCGCAGAACTGATCTCTCAACGTGCAGTCATTGAAAGGTGAGTTAGGCCTTCCACCAGCAGGGGGCAGTAATGCTTCACAGTTGTGAGCTGAACCTTGTAAGATGGGTTTGCATGTATTTAGTATGTATTTGTATTAATGTGAGATTTGGCAGGGGGCGAGAACAAAGAAAAAAAAAGTAAAAAAATGTTGCAATGGGCGCTTCAGTCGATTTCTTTTCTTTGTGTACAGGCTGTGATCAGCTGACCTGCTGCTGCTGCGCTGACATTTAATGCTCTTTGCGGATTTAGCCAGCTGAAGTCAGATATAAGTAGATGTTACATGAGCTGTATGACTGATTCCCAACTCCTGGATAAGACAAAGCGACTATAAAAGGTAACCAAGATGATCAGATCCGTGTTACCTTACACTGAGCAGCTACATCTATATTTTTATATACAGCATAAACCTGCTCTTGTTCTCCAAACAGCTGTTGTCCTGTGGCACAATCATTACATCACGTTCAGAGTTGTGTCTCTGAACATGTTGCGCACCCCAGGGCAGCAGCAGCTGCCTCCCTCGCTCTGGACACGTACAGTGATTCACAACTGTTGTGTTTTCAATATGTCCCAGTTGCACAATATTGCATCACTGAATGCACACTATCCCAATCAGTGAGAATCTTTACCACAACATTTAGCTTTTTCTAATTCAATAAAATTAAAATTACACGAGTTTAGATTAATATTTATCTTTTTTATGAAAAAGTAAGAACAAAACAAACAAAAAAAAAAACATTTTAATCTAAGAAATTGATCAGACAAGCAGCTGTGAAGCCGAGCTGTTTAGGGCAAGGTGCTTTTGTTTTTGTTGCTGTAGCGCCCTCTAGTGACCAAAGAAAAAAGTGTTTTCCCAATAATGGTGTCACCACTTTTGTGACATGTTGATATTGATATATATGACATATTTGATTAAATCTCCAAAAAGTTATAAGAACACACATTCAATTTCATTTATATAGCAGCAAATCGCAACAACAGTCACCTCACGGTGCTTTATAGTGTAGTATATTGTAAACCTTACAATAATATGAGAGAAAACCTCAACTAACAAATGACAAATGACCCCCGTTAGCTGTAATGATTAAATACAAACACACAGAGTGAAAAGTTCAGTGAAGAAGAAACAGTCGGTCCCATCATAGTGTGCTGTTAACTGTGCCTGTGCCTTTACTATGCATATGAAAATAGAAACTGTGAAACCTGAAACTCCAAATTTAAACAAAAACGGGCAAATAGCTCAAAAGTTACACAATAAAAAGCTTCACTCCTTTGGTGAAACTAGAGTGCTTAAGTCAGAAACATGAAAAACAACAGAAAGGAATCAGGAAATGGTTTGACTAATAAGAGTCTGATAGAGGATACACCATGATGAAGGAAATAAAGGTTAGTATTTGCAATTACACCTGCACCCGTGGTGCTGGTGTTGCAGCGTCAGCTGAGTGCTGCACCTTGTGGCCCAGTATGACCCAGCTGTTTTGGCACGTGGGGTCCTAAAACGACTGAATATGCAGAAATAATCCTTGCTAATAAGAACCTGCTATGCACATACAGTATGTTCTGGGCAATTATATGAAAAACAGTCCAGTGATTATTTTAAGGGATGAAGACAAGGATCATTTCAGGATTGTCCCCCCTCCAAAAAACAGAAGATGCAGGTAAGTGATTGAAAATTCAAAGTTCCCTCCAATTTATTTTGGGACCTTTTAAAAACTCTTGTTTCTGGGTTTTCAAACCTCGTGCATGAACCATTTTGCAGATTGAAAATCTATTATACAGAGTATCTTCCTTCCTTTTGGCTCAGAGGCAATTTGAATAAACACAGTGATTCCATGTGAACTCCACCTGCCTCTGTCTGTGTAAGCCTGTAATGAAAACAAATGAAACACACAGGGAGCCAGCTCCAGCATGATGCATTCATACAGCTGGCCAACAGCTACAATGACAGCTCATTAATTATTCAATTTATAAGCTGCTCCACACACACACACACACACACACACACACACACACACACATCAGGTAAGGTGTATAGTGTAGAGACAGGAAGGAGAGCTTTGTAGAGTCTAAAACAAGTCTTTATTGGTCAATATACAGGAAGCAGTGGGATGACCACTAAAGAGAGAGAAATCCCAACCACAGAGTTTACAAAAAGAAAAAGAAACTGATATATAAAATAAGTGTCTTGAACATTTTTACAGGGTTTGTTATTATATGTAAAAGAACCTTTTTTTAATCTTTAATCTTCAGAAGCATATTATGACAAAGAGGGAGGGACAAAGGAAACAAGGCAGTTATTTCACAATGATGACATCACAACCACAGGCCAACAGAAGGAGGGACAGGTGAGCAGGACACATAGTCAGAGAGCTCAGTGAGAGAGGTCGTCATAGATACTGTCCACACACGAACATGTGACCGGTGCTTTCCTGTGAGCAGAGATGGGAATGTCACGGTTTCTTTTAGCTTTTAAACAAACTGGAATTTAATTTTGTCAGAGTGAGTGTTAATCAGTAATGACGCCGGCACAAAGAGGAATGACTGTAAGTGAAGTATCCACTTCTTCTTGTAGCTGTGGTGAAGTTGTGCAGGAATGTGGATATACTGTATAAGCACTGCTTCTTTTCTCCTAAATTTACCACCGTTTCTGTCAACATCTACGCGCGACTTCAAACGGGCACTCCGACAACTTTGCACAATGAATTTACTTTCCTTTACACGAGGGATAAAAACAGCACGCTGATATCTGTGGGTGTCCTTTGCTTTGACATGAAAGCCTGTGTTACAAGCTGCAGATGTGGACTTCTGCAGCCCGTTTCACAGACGCGCCTGTTGCAACTGAACAAAATAGGAAAGAAAATCCTACTTTGTTGGTTTTGCTAAAGGCGAGATCCTACAGTATATATCTCAAAAGCTATTTTATTTGCTCAAGGACGCTGTACACAACATACGACATCACAGCGGCCTGACTCTGAGACAAGTCTAACTAGATAAACTCGTGAGAATTTAGGTGTTTGTGAAACCGGCAGGTCTAAGATGAGATGCTACTGACTGATAGATGGGAGGTGGAATGTATATTGTTTCTGGAAAATGATCAATACTAGGCACTAAAGTCAGGATATTATAGCCTGTTCTGCATCAATTCTATATCTGTCTCTTATATCTGGAGTACCCCTGTTTCTGTGCACCGATCCTTTATGGTAGGTCCATAATTGCATAGAGGACTCCCTTTACTATGGATAAAACCAAAGGAAACATTGGATCATAGTGGCAAACTGCAACATTTCTGTATCACTGCATGTGCTGAGTAAAAACCAAAGTTAGCTACTCCTAAACAGTAAACATTTGGGCCACTGCACGGATAGATCTGACACACACACACACAGATGCAAACAATCAGCTTCTAAGCTAATGGAAAAGTGACTGTTTCAGCTTCAAGATAATCCAAAGAACTCAAAGATGAAAGATTCAGTTCAAAAATTGATATTTCTACTTTGTTCTGTACATGCAGTAAATCAGGACAAATGTGGAATGTTTCTCTTTAGTGTCCAGGCCACAGAACCACAGACTTTAAGGACATCAAACGTGTTGTTGTTGAGAAGAGAGGAAACACAGAGAGAGAGAGAGAGAGAGAGAGCACAGCTATGTCATACCTACCTACATGGGAATTCTACGTAAAGATGTTACAGATACATGAACTAGCTGATGCGTAGATGGATAGACCTTGCAGTTAAATTGATAAAAACAATCAGTTTGATGGATAAAAGATTTAAAAGTAACGGAGGATACGATACACATACTGAACACAGGGATGAAAGTCAATTTTAAGCTTGTGTTTCGTATCAGTGTCACATCATTTAAGATCTGGCTCGTGGCTCAGAGTTTGGGACTGAATTTATAATGTGCCCACATAATAAATGACTCGACTGTGCTTGTTTGACATATTTTTCTCTGCTTTACTGGTTGTGACGTGAATAATGATGCACACACACAGACAACGATTTCCATTCAGTCATACGCCATGTTTGACTGTGTCCAGCAGGGGGAGATGTTACATTAAAAATGACAACATGGGAAGATTCGAAGAGTATTTTCCAGCAACAGATTGTAAATTATTTCATCAGAGTGTGTGTGTGTGTGTGTGTGTGTGTATACCTTTACAGAGCATGAAGGAATGTCTGGTTGATACGTGTGTGCTGTGTTTTTTTATGTGTGTGTGTGTGTGTGTGTGTGTGTGTCCGATGAGAATGTGCATGAGCGTGTGTTTGTGCACATATGTGTTAATGTTTACATGTTCGTGATCAGTATGTTATGGAGGAACTGTCCCATCCGAGTTTACCCTTCTGCTTTCTCTCTTTAGCAGCTTCTCTCCCTTCATCATCATCTTCCTCTTCATCGCTGTTCTCTGACTCAGCACTTGTCACTCCTCCCACCAGCTCTTCCTCCTCCTCTTCTTCCTCCTCCTCATGTTCTTCTTGCCTTACCTCATCACCCAGACCCTGAGGTCCTCCTATGTTCTAGAGAACAACAAACAAAAATCAGTGTATAAACGACACAACTGCAGGTACGTTCATACTGTTAACAAATACTGTTGACATTATCTTCAGTCTTCCACTCGGTCCTTCTTCTAAAGAAAATACCCTGATAATGGCATTAAATGCTAAACCACATCTTTCAGAGTTACCTCCATGGGGTTGACAGTGATGGTGAGCGCAGAGTTGTCCCATTCTTCCTCAGCATCTTTGACCTCATCTTCCTCCTCTCTCGACCCTTCCTGATGTGTGGTGTGGATCCTGTAGACTCCAATAACCACGATCACTACCAGTGCTGCGATACAAACCACGATAACGACTGTGGCTGCAGGAGGTGCCGATCCTGTAAAAAACAGTGATTAAAGTCATTATGCATACACACACAACCACACACACACACACACAATAATAATAATTACATTGGTTTGCTATGATACTCATCGTTTCCTTTAAGTTCTCTAACGATCCTGTAAAAAACGAATGCAAATGTTTTACATCGGAGTAACAGAGTACAAGTAAACTAAATGTTCATTAGAATCATAAATTAGAAATTGCAGTGGGGCCACAGTAGTGACTGAATTTACAATTTTGCTATTCAACTGTTTATTTACTGTTATGTTATCTATCTTATGTATCTTCTTTGTTAAACAACACAGTTAGCTAGTTTGCGTACATTTATCAAACACTTTTGGTTTTTATACTTTTAGCTATATTCCAACTGTTAGTTTTTACATTAAGCTAACTTCCTGATCAAAGCTTTCAATCAGTTGTTTTCAGATTAGTTTAGCTAATGTGTCCATGTCCTCCCCCCCCAGCTCACGCAGAAGTACCCCACGGGGAACCTTTTTCCCTGGTTGGAAAACATCTCTTGTTTAAAGCGAGTTCTTCCTTTCCACAGTGACCAACTACTGCTCAGCTTTTATCCTGTCTTCCAGGACAGGATAAAAGACAACATGTCTCATTCACACAAGTATTTTTCTACATCTAAGTGCTTTCTATCTATCTAACATCGGCACACATTCTCACTCCAGCGAACACATCAGGAGCAACTGAGTGTTCACTACTTTAATCGAACCACCAACCTTTCAATTAGTAGACGACCTGCTCTACCTCCTGAGAAACAGTCACCCACAGGCGACTGTTGTTAAGGACCAGCGCTTTATAAATGAACTGGACTCTATTTGTGTCTTACCTGACATGTGAGAGTTGAGCGAGTGCATTATGAGTGGGTGATGGATGGGTCTCATGTACTGGGGTTGGACAGCCATGTGATTGGCGTGCTCCACAGGTGCCGAGTGGTGAAGAACACTGACCTATGCCGAACAAATAGAAGACGAAACAGGATAACATTGAAAGATAAAACAAATAAACCATAAAAATAAGACAGAGACACTGGGTAGATGAGAATGTTTATATATCAAACTCACCTCCAAATTGAACTCGTTGCTGGTGTAGCGACCGTTGAGCTCCGAACAGGTGAGTCTGAACCTCCTCTCACTCAGATTGGCTGGTCGCCAGTTCCTGTAGCGCACTTGCCTCAGTGCCTGCTCATAGTGAGCCATGGAGTCCACACCTTGTAACACAGAAAAAGATTTATGCCTTACTAATATCTAACACATGTCATGAAGCAGAACTGCATATTGGCGACATAAATAAGCCTGTAATTAAACGACAGGGACATGTCTCAGGGACCTTTACATCTTTCTTAATGTATGATCGTCTGACTGCTGATTAAAGGGCACGCCATTTTCCAGATTTTTTCCTAAGATGAGACTGCAGAAGGTCACACAGCCTACCATAAATTGATATTCCAGAGGTGGAGTTGGTGGCATCAAGGTGTTTTCCCAGCAGAGCACTGTGTTGAATCTCTAGACTCTCTCTGTCTGGATTCAGTTCTTCTCCAATTACCAGAACATCACAGTAGTCCAGATTGTGCATTACCTCCATCACCCCTGGCCTGCGGGCTGCATGCACACACACAAAATCGCACAAGTGTGAAAGTGTTTGAAATGATAAGATGTTTAAATATCCAACACATATATGGTCGAATATAAAACACCTCAATAGAAAGAAAAGCAAAAGATGATTGTAAATTAACTAAAGCATCATTACGATGCACATATAAGCTGAGAGCATCTATAACAGCCCACTCACGTCCACCGAAGCCATCTCCCTTCATTACTGTGCTTGTGATGTGAAGCTCTTTGAAAGGTGCCACACCCAGCGGGCCCCGGAGGTCGCTGGCAGGCCTGACGAGTCGATTAGATCCAGCAATGGTGATTCTCGGTTCACTGGGCGGCAGCACCATAACTACTGCCTTGATGTCTGGGATGGAGAGACATGTGTCCTCTCCGAAACACCTGACACACACACACACACACACACACACACACACACACACACACACACACACACACACACACACAGAGAAGAGGAGAAGAAAAGGTTACAGGGTAGGACAGCACCTGTGTTGCTGCCTCACTGCTTACGTCTCTTGATTTCACTGCGGCGTATTTGCTTTTGTATAATTTAAGTACCGCAGCACTGAATTAAAGGCTCAGGGAGCGACAGGGACATTTCTTTATTCCAACTGAACCTCACACACTGCAAACCTATAAGCACAGCAGGCTAACAGTAAAATAGCAAAAAATAAAAACCTTAAACCATAAACAGTGCTAGGTTTGGTTGAAAATATTGTTTTTGTGTTCATGATGTTGAGAAAATATGTTTTAAAGGCTAAAACCTTTAGGGCTAGATAAGAAAAAATGTATCTGAAATACATTTCTGAGGGCACACACACACTGATAGCGTTCAATATCACTCCTTCAATTCCCAGTTTCAATCTCATAATCCTTGAAAATACTCTTCATGTACTCTTCCTTCAAATTTACCCCTACAACATTTCACTTCTGGCATTACTGTGAAGAAGTTTCAAGGCACCCCTCATTTCTTCATATTTTGCTTCAAACTTTTAGGCTTTCTGAAGGTCTTTCTTTGGACGTTGCCTGCTTTTTCACTCATTTTCAGTCCTTATACAAAGGTACCAAACTCAAGGGATGACCCAGTGTTGTAATGGACAACTTAGTAAAGAAACAATTTAAATTGCATCTTTGGGCACTTTGTTACTAGCAGCCTGACACAAACACATATCTTGTTGCCATTTGTTTAGTCGACTCTACAAAAAATGTCAACACAGTCTGAAATAAAATCATATTTTTTGTACCAATGAAGTGATTTCCAAAGAGCTGTTAGCCAAGTGCTTGACATATCTTGGCGTGGGGTGCAGTGTGTCAAGTGGAAACAAAAGAAGTGGCACACACACCAAAGAAAAAGCTAGAAATGGTCTCAGTGGAAGAAGCCATTCATAAGGGAGGAAACAGGAAGAATCATCTAAACAGAATGCAACCAGCATCCAAAGAAGAGCTTAAGAACTACTACATGCTTTATTCCCATGTATGTTTGGATCACTGCTCTTTTCATTGTCATGCCCATCTTCCTGGCGAAATATAAAGAAATAAAGGGTTGGCTCTAGACTTTTGCGTAGGATTGCATGCAATAAAACCTCTTTTTAAGTGCTAAATGTATTTAGAGCTTTTTAAGATTATTTTAATTTCAATAATAATAATTTTGGGGGCTGTAAGAAGATTTTTCTTGCAGTGCTAATAGTGCCCGCTCATTTCACACCAGTATGAAGAAAAAACCTCCAACAGTTCAAACTTAGAAATTTATGCATATTCAATCCCTCTTAGCAAAAAACTGGTTTAGAAAATACGTTTTCAGGGGCTTTAAGTGGCCGCTGAGGTGCTTTGTTTGTGCAATCAATTTTTACTAAGGCATCATAATTGATTACCACTTCTGAGGTTTGTTGGATTGCCAGAACAGGTTGGCAACAAAAAAGAAAAACTGGCAAGAATTCCAAATTCTCCATTGAGTTTGAGTTTTACTCACTCATCAAACAGGCCAGCTGCTTTATGAAAACATGTACAGTTATATTAATTCAAAAATATTTTCTTTCAGTTTTTCCTGTTAAAAATCATTTCCATTGCTTTATCACGAAAAAATCTTTTCTATTCTGGACAAAAATTCTATGAAAGGATGTGAATTACATTTTTATGTCGGTTTTATTGTGTTGTAAGTAGATTATATCACTATAGAAAAACCCAGTTTCAACTGGACTTAAGTTGAATCAGTGTGATTATGAAAGCGAGCAACCATGAACTCTCACCTGCACATAAAAACATCCCACTTACGTATAAAGAAATGAAATCCACAAAAGGGGATGTTAGCTTTTGAGGTCTCAGATCAATCCTGGCTTGTTACCTGCCTTGACCACATGGCCTCTAGTGCATCACTTTGAAATCTGTCCGTGTGTGTCTCAAAGCAAAAGCTGCTCCTGGAAACAACACTGCTGTGGGAACTACTACACAGCAGTGTGGTAGTTCCCACAACAGTGGGTACACCCGCTGAGTACTATTTCAGTCTGTTTGTGTGCACACTGTCAGCGCGACAGGGTTGCAACCCTTCAAGAAGCAGCCTCCAAGATGGACACAGTCCAACTCATGGATGCTAACAAAAGGGTGCCAGAAATCTCAGAACTTTACACCCCTGTCCAACATCATTTTTAATTTAACTACACATATCAGGTGTTTTTGTACCTGTTGTATAGACAATATTTTAAAGATGGATATGGCCCAAGAAAATGTTGATAAGCTACTTATGATGGCAGACAGGGCTTGTGACATGGAGCAAACTCCCGTGGCTTTAAAACAACACAACGTCTTAAATAATTTTCTGAACACTGTATGTGTTATGTGACTACATATTGTTGTTTTTTTCCCTATTCAAGGACTGCGGATTCAACATATCTGCTGAGTGCAAAGGCGGATCTATCTGCCGTTATCTCGAGGAGCACAGTGAAGTGTTGTCAGAGTCAGACAGCCTCTATTGTTGCTCCTGGAGCTCGCCTCACTTTATCGACCAGCACGAAGCTGATTTGACCCGCCTGCGTTTGCTGCTCAACAAACGAACAGGTGCTGCGTGGCTGTGGAGACAAGACGTAAGACACGTGAACATGTACCAAGCACTCAAGCTAGACACAAGTCTCTCTCTCTGGGACAGTAAGCAATATCTATATATGCAATCAAGCATGTTGCATTCAATGTGCTACAGCTTAGTGCTTTGAAGCAGATCGGTTCAGACATGAGCCCCGTAGAGGAAATCCATATCAGTACTGGGATGTAATAATGATCCAATAGGAAACGCAGGAATGAGTTAGTCTCAAAGTAGTAATTCAAACATGGGTGCCACTTACAATTACCACTGAAATCTTTAAAAAAGACATAATCGTAGTCATTATCGCACAAGATAAAAAAAGATTTTTCGAATGTTTCGTCTCAAAGGGAAAGAGAAAGTGAATTCTCTGTGAATTTGTTTAACAAAACCCTCAGTTGTATCTTTTTTAGTTTGTTAACAGCTAACAGTGCATGCACACTAATATATATATATATATATATATATATAT